AAAACATTACCCTACGTATATATACTGATTTTTGTCAAAATTTGCTACAATATATATGTCATCACCCGGTATGGCTACATGATCATTGTCATGTATTATCAAATATATAAAATATACGGGTTCAATTTTCTCATGTTATTGAAAATAAGTATCTTCTACTATATATACATGATGTGGTGTGGTGGGCCCACCACTCATTAAAAAAAATGGTGACATTATTTTTGATGTGAGAGTGGCATAAGATATCTCTCTTATTTAGAACGAGAGAATGATTTCCCAAAATATATTATATAATATCAAAATTGGATCTTAAAAGAATTGATTTTCTATATTTCTTTATATTTTATGATTTATTTTCTCATTTAATTAAAATTTGAAGGCTAATAATATATAGATAAGATTTGATACTTCATAATTTGTCATAACGAATGAAATCAAGAGGAAGGATATTGTAACAACCAATTAGTGTTATTACTAATGTTATTATCAATCAATTTCACCGTTAGATCGATTATGTCGATCTAACAATTATATCCATTGCCATCTTTGTATGGTTATGATTCTCCATATTTAATATTTTATATTTATTTTCATATTTAATATTTTATATTTAATGTGAAAATATTAAATATGGCAAATCATAACCATACAAAGATGAAAATAAATATAACCGTTGGATCAATATAATCGATCTAACAGTAAAATTGATTGATAGTAAATTGGTTGTTAGTTGTTACAATATCCTACCCCTCAAATCAATACTAATTTTATATCAATCAATTATATTTTCTTTTTCTTTCGGTCCTCCCTTGCTTGTAATTTTAACGTTTACCTCTACATTGACTTTTTTCACAATTAAAAAGTCATTTCCTTCCCTCTACGTTTGCATTTAAATTATATATGCTATGAATGAGTTTTCGTATTGCTGATATCTCTCATTCATCATTATAAACGCATACATACTCTCTGTTCTCACTCTTAAGGATGGATTCCTCTAAATCTTTCAAGAACAAGGAGGAGGACACATCTTCTTCATCACAACCCCCTCTTGTACGAGTCAAATTCACTTTCTATCACCTCTTTTGCTTTTCATATTTCTTGTTCTTGAGCCATGCATTACAATTTTCTGTTTAGTCTTTATATTTTGGAGAATTGCTGCACATGTGCTTTGTTGTTCTTGAACTTCTTTTTTTCTTTACAGCATTCTTTAGTTTGCTTCTTTTGTATCCACATACTTCTTTCATATCATTGGCAGTATAGTTTGATGATTCATGAATAATGAATGTGTTATACTTCATCACAGGAACCCTCTTATCTCAGTTACCTATGTTTATCTCCAACAAGACATCCTGTCATCACTGATGATCTTGAGAATTTAATTTCATTTGATGTACACGATTTTTTATTCACCACACCAGGTCTTGATTTATCCTCTGAAGAACAGTTATTTGAAAGGTTTGATGACTTCAATTCTATATTTCTATATTTTTATTTTCTATAGATAATGCATTGGTTCTTAATTTCTGGACAAAACTTATCTAGTGACATTATTGGAGGCAAGAGTAGAATTGAAGATCCTTATAATATCAACAAATTATGTCCTTTGTCAGAGGAACCTATTATGGTTCATCAAGAAAATCCAGCATATGTTGATGAACCGGGAGAATTACCATGTGTTGAATGGCCTTCTCACGAAACCAAAGAGGTAGGGTCCAATTTGTTTGCAGACGTTGTCTTATAGAAGTAACATTGTCATGATTCACATGTCCAGCTAACCCTAGTGTCTTGCTGTTTATATATCAATAATCTGGATATCGGACATGCAATAGTTATACTAATAGATATTGTTAAGAACCAATTCAATTCAAAAGTTTAAGCCGTTGGTGAGGCTATATTAATGGTTTTATGTATCTCAATACGCCCCCTCACACGAGAGCCTTCTAATATCATATTAAGAACCAATTTAACCCAAAAGCTTTTAGGTGAGGTTATTTTAATGGTTTTATATATGTCAGCAGATATTACTAATGTCATGTAGATATCTTTCTTTTTAGTTTCTGATTGACTCACAATGTTTTAAGCTGCAAGATCCCGTAAATGAACTACAGGATTATGAAGATTATATTATGCAACAACCAGTAAATGAACTGCAGGATCATAAAGATTATACCCCTCAGTTGATGCCAGATCCTCTGCAAGAGGATGTTAACCAATATGAAGATAATGGTGAGATAAGGACAACTTTACACGTGAGCGCAGAGAACTTGTCGAGTAATGGTTCCGAGGTACAAATCAAACTGTGTCTATTTTCTATCTCTTATTGTGTTTGTGTGTGAGTGTGTGTTTCTTTGTGTCTGTATGTTTTCTGTAGTCTTAATCTGAATAGTGTCTTGCAAGGTCAATAGCCATAGGCTTGAATATGCTTCTTCTCTTTTCCAATCATTTTGGAACCTACTCTCCTCAATTAAAAGAATGGTAATTATATTTTCTCATTCAATCAGAAGAATTCAAAGATTGTCTCAGTCCTGATAAGATGGTTATGGGGATCCTTTAGGTCAAGGAAATAGGATTTTCATTCATTTATATATCTTGGAGCATGGAGAAGAATGTTGACAAAAATGTTTCATTGTAAGTTTTCTTGCTAGAGGTTTTAGTCATGCGTGGTGAGTGTCATGAAATGACTAATTTATTGTAGAGAAAACATAGGACAAAGGATTGCAAGCATGATTATCCGGCATTTGCATTTCTTTCATTGAATCTAGTAAGATTTTCTCTAAGAAGTAAAATATTTATTGCAGTCAATGTTGGCTAGTCCAAAGCACCGTGACATTAGACGTTGCCTCCAATTTGAGGAAGCTGCATCAAATTCTCTTGGAGATAATAACTACCCTCTTCCTACACACATTCCAACAGAGTCAGAATCATCAGCTCCCTCAGATGCAAAAGGTACGAGAGCTTCTTATCTGCCATTGTTTAGGATTTCAAGAAAAGAGAAAATAGCAAAAGCTGTCATCCTATGATCACTTCCTTGTTTCCTTCATGATTTAGTGGAAACTTCCCCTGTGACAGGTTCCAAGTCATCATCAAGCTTTGGTATTCATTTAAATAGCCTCATGAAAGCTACACCACCTGTGGGATCAGCAGAGGGTTCGGAGATTAAGCCCAAGAGCGGGAAATTTAGATTGTCATTTTCATCAAATAAAGAAGGGCAATCAATAGTAAGCATTAGCAAACTTAGCACTATAGAGAAGTGGCATGAAATTGATGCTTCCGTAGCTGCAGATACTGTCACCACAATCTCAATGTCTCCTAGTTTGATAGAACCTTTGACTCCCTCACCATATCCTGTAAGTGTCCATGTTAACAAGACAACAAGCCCAACAGATGCCAGCACCAAGAATTCTGAGAAATTCAAACCACCACCTAGACCCCCGGCGAAAAAGTCAGTTTCTTTTGTTGTTTCTCGTATTTATTACTTTTACTAGATTTTAATTTTTATTCTTTTATATGCTCTGTTATAAGTTATAACTCAATTGGACATTGCTTTTTAACAACAGAAGACCAAACACTTGCCACGTAAGTCAGGTTACTCCTGCGTCGATAAGGAGTAGGATATTTACATTGCACGGTGTGCCTTCTTTTCAACCAAAGACCCCTTGCATTGATTCCAACGTCAAAGGCAATGCTACTGGAGAGTTGTGACGGAAACAGCTACGCGGAGAATAGATTTTAAAGTGTAATCATGTCCAAATTATTTATGAAAGTTATCATTTAGCGATTCTCTTGCTTTTTATTTTCCTTTTTTTAAAAAAAAAAAATACTATTTTGCATTCTTCAATAAAAGTTGGCAATGTTAATTTGGTTAGATAAAATATAATTAGTATTGATTTTAAAAATATGGGCTTTAATATTTTTACGATGAATGTAAATAAGTTATCTACCTTTACTACTAAAATAACATCGTTTTAGGTTGAAAAATTGAAAAATTATAATGAGAAAAATTATTATAACCCTGAAACAAATTATAATTACAAAAATACATTATTTTCCGCTCTAAAATATCGTTGTTTTGAGCTCAATGTAGATAATTTATCTACATTTACTGCAAAGAAAACAAACCCCAAAAATATGGGTTTAAGTTTTCTTATGTTGTAGGATTGTAGGAGATAAAAAAAATAGAGAGAAGTTAAATGTGGGTCCCATATTTTATATTAAAAAAGAAAAGAAAAATTAATTGGCACGGAAAACGAATTAGTGTAGAAAAATGATGTACTCTTATGTAGCATAAGAGTATTATTTCCCCAAAAATATATATATAAATATAGGATAATAATTCTCTCCTCTACAACAGGAGAAAAATTTATCTCCTCTAGATACATAAAGAAATGAGCCCCACGATTTAAAAAAAAATGCAATGAAAAAAAATATCATACTCATAAAGCAAAAACATAAACGTACTCCTATAAAGTAAAGAAAATATACCGGATTGGGGTTAATTATTAGTCGATTTCAATTCCAAATTTTAGAATTCTTCTATTCCTATAGAATAGTATTCTATAGGAATGCAAGAGACAAATTTTTCTCTTGTTCGCAGAAAAAAAAATTATTGCCTATGAAATATAAGTGTTCAGATAGTACAAGGGTGTAGAATAATAAATAATTAAGGAGTATTTTAAGCATTATACAGATTATTATAAATTTAGTTAGAATCATATGTGCATCGAACATTTTTTCTACAAACCAACGTGAAGTAGTAGGAACTTCGTCACTTAAAGCTGAAATATGAGTGGACTTGACCAAGTTATTGTTCAATAGGGACTTCGGCTTTGGTTAGGGGTGGCAGAAATGGAAGCCAATTTTTTGTCCTTGTCATTTTGAATATGACACTAATACCGTTTTGAGCTCGAACCTTGACATTGCAAAAACTCTTCAACCGCTTAACTCTTAACTTGCTTACAATTTGAGTCGCAACTTCGTGAATGATATAATAAACTCGATCAATGGTCATATTTTTATTTTATTGTTGTCCGGCTTGTTAAGGTTTGACTTTATTTAGTCAGAATAGGAATACAGAAAGCAACATATATATCCAAACCTGAATGACATAAACAAAAATTTGCTGGATGTAGAGGAAATTATCCATGTCCTCCCACCAAAGCATTCCCAAATCCCAAAACAATAAAGATAAGGACCCCTGGGGGAAAAGGGTTTATTTAGTACCATGAGCATAGGAGAGAATGAAGCAGCTATACCAATACCAGTATACCCCACACCACTAACTATTCTATAGAGCCTCTTCCATAGCCTAGAAGTATGCTTCTATATTTGTGACCTGATTGAGCTTTACTTCCCTAGTTCAACCGAAACCCCTCAAGTCCCAAATTTGCAGTTAGCCACCTACAAACTTCATCAGTCTCTTCAGGAACTGTATAGTGACCCAACCTGTACAGCAAAATATATTATTCATTAGACTAATGCCATCCACAAATATGCTGATTACCTATGCAGAACAAAGTTGATTACCCGTTGTAGCTCTTAAATATAAGATTCTGGAATCCAGCTGAGCTTAAGGTCCCTGCTGATCTCTCTCCATGTTCATATGCAACCACATCATCAGCTGCAAAAAGAATTCAAGATATATAGCGCATTGATCAGGTATGAAGTAAGTTCCCTACTGCATGATTCATGATATCACACGTTTGAACCACAACAGAAGAAGCAAGCAAAGATTATTGTCGCTACTAGTACAAGCTGGCTTTTCAGACATGTTGAGTTGTTTGTTGATACATAAGAATTAACTAAATTTTTGTTAAAAAATTCACAGAAACTAGAAAAGTGTTAAAACTAAATCAAATGAAGATGTTGACATGGTGATTAATAGACACAATATATTCAGACTGTTAATTCCAACATGTGATAAATCAGTAAAAACTCAAACAAGGAATTTCATACATGAGAAAACTGTTCACCTCCCCAGTAAGTATTAAGTACCGGTTAAGAGTCTTAACCAATAACTCCTACAAAGCATTTCTTTGTTTCCTTGTGAACAAGAACTATTATTATCATTAAGCACGAAGATAATGACAGATCTATAGATTACTGACCAGTGAAAGCATAAAACTAGTATCTTATCTTTGATTTACATATATCAGGAAAGATGTTTAATTCTGAAGTTATATTAATCAAAAAACTTAAGCAGTGTGCGGGCCTCTCTTGATAGGAATTCAGGGTGTGATACAGATGAACCGATCATGCTTTTATGTCCTAAATTAGTAGAAAGGGAAAGGATTCCCAATAATAACATTTTAAAGTTTTAGCTATAATGAAAAATGATGGAACTTATGAATACCTCTTCCATGGCAGACAAACAAGGGCAATGATGCAGCACGCCTTATGCCATCACGTGATCTTTCAATCCGATTTTTCAAGGTACTGCATCAATCAGCAGCTTCTCAGTGATTTATATAGCTTAAAGAATAGGAAATTATGGGTGAATGTGCCTTATTAGTAGTGTATTTATGTATTCATTCACTGACACATGGTAGAAACCAAACCTTGAACAAGGAAGCCAGCCACTTAGAGAAACAATTGCACTTAAGTTGATAGGGTAAATGTTTCCATTCCCATAGTGCCCCAAGACATGGCATGTGGCCGAATGAAGTGCCGTTGCAGCACCCATACTGAAGCCCCCGATACCAAGTTTGACTGTACGGTAAACAGTAGCATTTAAGTCAAATTACAGGGAACTTAGATTTAGTGATAACAGTCCCATGTATACATCAGTCACTTTACTCAATATGTAGTGGTATATAAATCTAAACACCTTATTGATAGCGAATGTGGATAGTTATTTCAAAGCCTCAGGAAGGCTTCTTGGACTTGCAAGTTTGCACTTTTTTCTTGTTATACCATCATACCAAATACTATGCAGCTGAATAACATATAAAGTGAGAGAGAATAATTTGCTTCTGCTACTGAAGCGGACATTAAAGAAAGTTCTTCCGGTGCTTATTGTTCTAATAACAAGAAAACAGTTAAAAGATAAAATAAGTTGTTTTTCTTATTAAAAATGCTCTTCTTTTTCCCAAATAAATATGCATGCAATTAGTCAGTACTCATGGTACCAACAGTTGCTGAAGGAAAATCAATGCAACTTTATCATAGAATGAATTTCTCTATGGAACAACAATATTGTATTATTATATAGAATCTATAAAAGAATATAGAGATCATTAAACTGTTGAATACTTCAATAATCTCCAAATCTTGTTGACAATTTCACTGAACAGTCCCCCAATACTGGAAACCCATTTCTTTCACTCTACATTTCCATGAGCAATAGATCACTTCATGTACCCATCCACATATAGCAAAGGAAGTTTGAGACAACTTATAATTAAAATCTAGCAATTGATTGTAGGGAGATTTAATCCGTATTTGTAGAATTAGCAAATAATAAAATCTTTTCTATAATGGCATTTCCTATGATAAATTTAGTTAATTAATGAATCATATCCTCAAGCAAAAAAAAAAAAACGGCAGATAACATCAATGAATTTCATGGAAAACCTACTATTAGGAGGCTCTGTTGACAAAAGATTGGCAACATGAGCTGCAGAAGCATCTAAGCCCTCCAAATCATTTGGAGCATCTTCTGAAATCTCCCCAACATCAAACCCTGGTAAAGATGCCTCAATCAAATTAGACTATTCTTGACAGTTAAACTGGAGCTGGCGTTATAGTTCTACATTGAATACACAGAAAGTTAGGAAAGATATATATATATATATATATATATATGACACTGCAGTGTAGAAATCAAATTTTGCAGTCAAAGGAAAATGGTAGAAGAACAATGATGTTTTCAACTGAATAATGTAGAATTTTCAAGCATTGAATCTTACAAGCAGTGCAAGGAAATCCACCAAATATGGCTACAGGCCGTGTAGGAGCAGTTGGGCAAATCCATTTAATCTGCAACATAAATTTCAAGAAAACAAATGGCATCTGCTTATCAGGTAGACAATGCTTTCCAAATATTACATTATAGCATATGATGCAACTTAAGACATGCATTCCCTATTAAAAAATGTCAAAGTCAAATACATGATTGTTCTTACATTTGGAAGACGAAGAGCTTCCAAGAGTTGGGACCAGCTGCAAAACAAAATATAGTCCATTTCATTCACCATAGGCTAATCTTGAACTCTTCAACTAGGAATACAACAAGCTAAAGTAGAAAAATATTAGAACTATTTATGGGCTAAGAATTCAGCCATTAAAGATGATATTTGACACTGTTATAAGGTTTATTCAAAGAAATACATATTAAAATTATATCTCCCCTACCTAGTTTTGGGACCATGTATTAATAAACAGCATAAATTGTATCATATGAATAATATGCACTGATGAACTTGACTTCATAATGATGAAAGTCAAGAGTTTATTTCTTAATGCATTAGGAGTATATGTGTCCCTGTTTGGTGATTAGTATCTATATGTGTATTAAGTTTTGGGAACAACATAGCTAGTGAAGAAGTGGTCCCCTTTTTATATTATTGGCATATACAAATCTCAGAGTCTAGGTTTCCTTTACTGCAAACTTTCAATTTTGGAGATGAAATAAAATGATTATTAATAATACTTTTTTGGTTGACAGTACCATTGTGTTATCCCACAAAAAATGGGTAAGAATTTTCTAAAAGATGACATGGAGTTCAAGAACTTATTTAATAAACAATCTTCTCCAGTAGAGGACAAGATATTGACATTCCCTTACTCCCTCCCTTAAATTTATTACAAGAAAACAAACCCACCATTCTCATTGAAGGCATATTCTCAAGCATAAGGAGAAGGTGTCCACTCAAACTAAGTTTGCCAATAAAAAAGGAATAAACTTAATCAAATATTAAAATTCCAAACTGTTGACCCATGCACATTGATATGGACGGTCATTGAGAAAATGCATGGTGATTTATGGCTGCTGAGTAGTACAATGAGTTTTCAGAATATAATCTCTAATTCCATTTGTCAACCAGCTAAAAAAAGAAGTAAACTTTTCCCTCAAATAAATCTCTAGATGTATTCCAATTCAAATAAAGAGAGTATCCATCTTCAAAATATGACAGCATAAGATATTCATGTTAGCAACATACCTTGAACCGTTATCACCAATGCCATGTAGCCAAACTATAGTTGCCTGGTGCTTCCCTTTAGGTCTTACCACATGGGTCCTTCCAAACTCAAATGTCCTTCTACTTGTTCCACTACCTGAATCATGGAAGCAATAAAGTTCATTTAAGAAAATGCCAGAAAACCTAGATAATTTAGTTGCTAGAAAGATTCACAAGTAAATCGATAAATGTAGTGTGTAGGGAAATGGAGACAGCATGAGATCACAACTAACCAGAACCCATTGAGGAGCTGCTGTAGCTCATTGTATATACCCAAGTAGCTGAATGCTCAGGTCACTTCCCAAATGCTTGAGATGAGCTTCTGCGATGAAGAACACCAACATTAGCAACCTCTATTTATACACAAATGGGAGGGTGGCAATGTAAAATAATAATATCAATGAATCTGCATCAGCTACCCTGCTTATAAAACTAGCTTAAACCTCCTTGAAAATTGATGGAAAGTGAAAGGCACTCAAGAAAAGGAGATAGAAACTGAAGGAGCCAAAAAAAAAAAAAAAAAAAAAAAAAACTTTTTCAAAAAAATAAAAAATGCAGAGAAGGAGCCAGGTAAGTATTTTACTTCGTAATGCTCAAAGAGAATAAGATTGGAGAATCTATGCTCGTGGAAATTGAGTAAAGCAAGTAAAGCACTTGACCTAAGACAACAAGAAGAATATTTGGCTATTATAAAAAACAATTATTTTTATTTTTATTTTTATTTTTTGCCATCTTCCATTTTCCAAAAGAAAACGAAACACTGTGCAAAATAGCATTATTAAGTAAATGAAGTTGAAACCTTCACTAGTCGAATGATGTCATTCATACTAGGTGGTACGAACTTGCTGGCATATTTCTCTTTTATATGATATGATATATATACAAGAATCTTAGATGAAAAAAAGAAAAAAAATCACATTCAAGGGTGAGAAAGAAATGCAAAAGTGAGAAAAGTTTTGTTCTTTGCACCAACCTCAACACCTCAACCTGGTGGGAAACAAACCCAAAAAAGCATATGAGCTTTTTCCTTTTCTCCTTGATTTACCTTTGTTGTCTTCGTTCCCACTACTCTTTTTGTTTTATTACTTCACTCTTCGCACTCAACACACAACATCAACACAAACAAAACCCCAAGCATTCAGCCACTTGTTTTGTTACAACCCTTTGTTGACAATAATGCCCCTACTTATACATCTCTGATGATTTACTAACATGTCTCTTATAGAATAAGGCTTAATAGTATAATATCTGATAATATAAGGTATGAGTATATAAGATTTGATTAAATTTTAATATTATCTAGCATTTGGTATGATATTGTATAAGATAATATTATCCAATATTTGATAATACACTGTATAATATTAGATAGGTTAAAAATAAATATTTTTGTCAAAAATATCTTTTAATAATGAATTTACATAATTCTTCCAGATTTACCATATGATATTATTTTTTATAGAAATATGTTGATCAGCGTGTCCAAAAAATATATTAATTTTTATAAAAATAAAAATCTCCAATATTTTTAAAAAATTATATATTGAAAATTATTTTTTATTTTAATATACTAATATTAAAATAATATATTAATTCTTGAGAATTGTATTGGTTAATACATCAACCTCTTATCAGTCCTAATTCTACCCTCGTATGCCTGATTAAGTTATATATCATCTTGATGTATAAAGATATCATGCTGTATAAGCTTATATTATACGATGGTCACATTAAACAATTAAAAATATCGTAACATATAATATAAATTTATACTATTAGACCTTATACATCACATTATCTTATAACATTTATTATCAGACAAGAGAAATGCTGTGAAACACTCCTTTAAGAACCGTCTTATGAAAACACAAGAAAGAAAGACTTGACTTCTTGAATCATTGATGTCGCTTGTTCGTTTTGCTTAGACTAACGGCGGAAGAGTGATTATTTTGTCGCATTTGGCAAAAAAATTTATCAGACTGCCACGTCAACAGTAAATTTTTCCAAAATGTCACGAGGCATATTTCGCTACACTATGTAACGAAATATGTTTGCAAGTAATTCGCTATACTGTTTAGCGAAATATGTCATGTCAGAATGCACAGTCAGCAAAAAAATGACACGTGTCAAGGAGGCAAAAATTTGCTACACTGTGTAGCGAATTATGCTTGAATTCTGTCTGCTTGACACGTGTCATTTTTGCTGATTGTGCAGCCTGACATGGCATATTTCGCTACACTGTGTAGCGAATTACTTGCAAACATATTTCACTACACGGTGTATCGAAATGTGTCGCGTGACATTTTGACAAAATTTACTGTTGACATGGCAGTTTGATAAAAAATTGTACCAAACGTGACAAAATAGTCATTGTTCCCCTTCCCAAACAGAGCTTTCTACATCTATATATAAATGCTGGTTTATCAAGAATACGCAAGAAAAGCATTTCGAATTTATTTAAATCGCATATCTCCCTCCCTTGTAGTGATTTATCATTCAATGAATGACTGAAAAAACGATTCACTGGTGTAATTCTAAAGTTTACTGGCTTACACCTTGCCAATAATTAGTGATTTTACACAATTCCTTTTAATTTGCTGAAAGATATTTCATATAATTAGTGATCTTTTATTTTATTTTAATTTTTTGGTGAATATAATTAGTGATTTTAATATATAATTAAATTGATTATATTAAAAAATTATTAATTATTAATTTAGTTGGCTATTTCGTTATTTATATTAATTAAAACAAAAGTCCGAATCATATATTAAAGTTGATTTCCTTTTGTCTGTTTCTGAAACAAAAACCTCTGATGGTCTTCTTTTCAACGTGATGAAAAGTCGAAAAGTAAAGCAGGTTTCATACCTTCGCACGGTGGCTTTTCATTTTGCTTTACCAAAATCGTGTTAGGCTTTTGCTCACTAGTTAATTACTACCATTTAATTTACCAAAAAAAAAAATTACTACCATTTCCATTTACCGAAAAAAAATAAAAACTAACTACCATTTCCCCATTTGTTGTATTAATAATACTTTAAGTACAGTTAATTTTTTAATTATTGTATTAAGTTTCACTATTAGAAAATATTCGAGAAATATAATTATATAAAATTATCATAGTAGCCTTCAACTAATAATTAAACTTTTAGGTTGAATTAATTTTTTATACGATTTCTAAAAAATTTGATTCTCAAAATCTCTATTCTATTAATAAATAATTAATATTATGAAATTTTTTAATATAAATAGACGGAGTATATATATTATTCACTATTCAAACCCCATAAATTCTCATATAATAAAATATGTTGGAGAAATATAATATAAAATTATTAATATAACTTTTATTTACTAATATAAAATTTTGAGTTAATGGTTCTTCGCATAAAAATCTTATCTTCGACTGAATTTTTTCCTAATCGATAGCATTATCTTTTCATTACTTAATTGTATGTCTAGTATAGAATTTCAAACATATTAAAATTTTCTAGTTACATAATAATTTTTCTCATCAAATATAAAGTATCCGTAATGCATTCTCTGTTATAAAATAAATGGAATCTTAATTTAGACAACTTTGTAATTTGTATATCGTTTTTAAACAGTCAACTCTTGTCATGCCCCACAATCAGTAAAAGGAGAATCGAAGTTGGTAGTAATGCCAATTATGCCATAGAATTTCAAATTTGTTGCGAGTGACTCGTATAGCGTAAAGCAACGAAAGATATTCTTGCCTTCTTCTGGGTCATTTTCTTTTATTTGAAAATAACCTAAACCTAATGTGTTGATGGTGTAATATATATAAATTATAATCAGTGTATCAGAACAATTTGAAAGTAGACTCTAGCTGGTATTGTGTCGGGCATCTTTATATATTTAAAACTGTTATCACCTCGTTGATATTCTGTATGCCAAATGTCAGAAGTTCCAGACACTATTTTAATGTTCCAAAAGAGTGAAATTGGTGTCATAATGAATATTTAAAACGAAATTAGGATTGCTTTTTTCAGTGTGCTAGGGTTGTAAAGGCTGTGAGATGGGCTTCAAAAAAGTTATTACGGGATGTTCTGCTTTCCTGTAGAATATTTGACATTGGACAACTTTTGAAGTGTATATATAGTCTAATGAATGCATGCTCACTGTAATATTCGTTATATCAAACAGATTGTGCATTAGGCTTCTTATATTATTATATCTTCTCATCAACGGTTGATATAAAATTCGATGATCTTGTTACTATTAAAATATTAATATAACATCACTTAACGATTTAAATTTTTTAGTTAAATTGGCTTTTGAGGAGGGATATTCTTACTATCAAAAATTTTTACTTTCAACTTACTACCTATCTAATCACCATTGATTAATATTTTCTCTCTCTTCAAATTTTTTTTAACATTCTCTCTCTTTGATCCAATGATGATTAGATAGGTAGTCAGTTAGTAGTGAAAAATTTGAGTAGTAAAAATATCTCTCCTCTTGGCTCTTTACATTATATTAGAGCTTTAATGACCAAGTGATTACGAGTTGGATACTCATCACCCTCACTTTGTGGTCAAATTAAGTAAACACAAGATAAACTATAAATGGGTCTGTGCAGCATAAGGTACACCAAAGAACTCTTGAATGAGAAGGTGTATTAAAAAGATATAAAATTATTAATAAATCTCACTCAATGGTCTTAAAATTTTGTATTGAATTGATTTTTTATATAAGTAGTGTGCGTAAATTAGTGTTACAGTCTCCTAAATTACTCGAAATATTCTATAATATATTATTGTGGAACAATTTTATGCTTCAATTTACATGCTTTTAATTTGCAAGCGGAACGGCTAACAATCTTTGTATTGGGCGCACAATGTTTCAGCTTAAATAATTTATGAAAAATGCTACGATTGTTTTCTTCCTTTTAAATTTTTCTTTTCTCATTTCATTAGTCTCAAAGGATACCCCACTAGTTAAGTTGTGTTACTGGCTGGATTCATATCTCAACAACTTATTCAATAAGAATAAGATTTATCCAAATAATATTTTAGATGACAAAGAATCAAGGAATCACACTCTAAACCTATAGGTAACCCTTCTTATAAATAAAGGATTGAAGCTATCAAGTACACACTTTTAACCCAATTATTTTTGCTATCAATACTGAGCATACACACACACAACTCATTGGCCTTGAGCCAATTGAATATCTTTGTGAGTGCAAGAAAATAAAAATGTTTCTCCATTAATAAATTGGGCCTCCTCAATATACACGGCCCATCTTGCTGGGGGATATTACCCTAGAATAAAGATCAGCCCAAAGCCCAACAACAGTCCAAGCCCAAACTGATGGTCCAGAAACTTGATTCCAAAAATGCAGCTGATATAATACATACATGTGGGCAGAATCATGATAGAATAGTCAAGTAGTTAATTTTGTTAAATCAGTTAGATAAGTTAGTTTTTATTTCCCGCTAATTACGGTATTCAGTTTTGATTAGAACAGTAGCAATGACATGTATATATATCTCTGTAAGCTTCATTTCTTTTTTTGTAAATATTCCAATCGGTTCATTACTTCGCAACTAGTCCGATTCGGGGCGGGTTCAGAATTAAGGCTTTAAACCCCTCCCAAAGGTAATACTGGGGAGATTATGAGAATTCTGCAAAAGTTTTTACTCTGAGCACAATGCTCTTTATCTGCATTTCTTGCTTTCTCAACATGGTATCAGAGCTCATCTAGCTCTGGTACTTTGCTTCATCATCTTTCTTTCAAAATTTCATTCTTGATATGTTTCTTATTCAATTGTTTTTCTTATGGCGAATCAAGCTCCATTACCTGAGTTTCTTACAAATCCATCTCATCAGCTTTTTCTGCACCCTAATGAAAGTCCCTCACAAGTATTAGTTTCTACACCATTGAATGGTAGAAATTATCATGTTTGGGCTCGTGCTATGTCTATGGCACTCTTGACGAAAAATAAGATTGGTTTTATCAATGGAACTGTTGTTGCACCAGATCCAGATACACTAGAATATCAAGCTTGGGAACGCTGCAATACTATTGTCATTGGATGGATACAAAGGTCAATTTCAGAAACGATAGCTCAATCAATTTTGTGGA